TGTTTGCACTTAGACTAAATCACATTTTTCCAAGTTGAGTTTCCTGCAGCTGAGCTCCGCCCATGCGTATTTTGTCGTTCGTAAGAGGGCCAACGGTAGCAGCCGCGGATTCCGGTAGCAGCCGATTGGCTACCGGGTTTTGGCTTCCGGGCATTGGTTCTTCGGTCGCGTGCGCTCCTCTTAGATCGCTTTATTACAGACGAATGAATGATGATGAATTGCTGCATGGCATGGTTTTATTCAATCATTAAATAACTAAGTGCATGATAAAACATGTCCTGGCAAACACATTATCTTGAGTAATGGTAAACACACTGATCTTTTACTTCAAAGAGAAGTGTGTTCCTTCAGAAAACATTGCGAGAATATATTAAAATCGGTATTTTAAAAACTTATTAAATATCTTAAAAAATTAGGTGCCATTAGGCGTAGGTACTGTTCTGGCAAGGCAGTGCACTTTTGCTTTATTCAGTTATTTTATACCTACCAGTGTGTCTAACAAAAGGTCAAACAAACAAACAATTTTTTTAATGCCATACGGGGGGTCCGTCCTGTTTGCTATAAAACTGAGCTCTCAAAAAGTTAGTCAATTTCGGGTTATTCTGGGCGTTTTATAAACAAATTAGTGACAATCGTTACCGGTCAAGTGGCTTCGTTTTTCAAGATACCTAAAGAAAAGTTCCACTAAGAAAAGTTGTTGTTTAGAATGTACTTTTATACTTACGTTGCAAATTCAAGTTTCAAAGTTAAAAATGTGCTGCGAGAAGAGAATCTAAAACTTATTTATACCTAAATTTGCACTTTTGTCAAGCTTCCTGCGATTTCTTCGTCAGATTGGTTGAAGTGAACATGGTACTTAAGTATCTATCTATATTTCGTTAAAAAAACTTCTGCTGTGTTGTAAAAACGACAAAAATATTGTTTAAGGAGATGTAATGAGACATTTTAACGTGAAATAACCAGGCATTGTTGTCACGTAGAGCGACTATGAGAATCATTAAAAAAATGCTGGCTACTTGAAGTTTTTTTAATTTGAAAATGAAAATATTTTATGGCAAAGACGCTTCTGTGGTTATGAAACTGAGGACTCCATTACTGAAAACCCTAAGATGCCACTTAGAGAGAAAGTAAATATTGTTAAAATCAGAAAATCCAATAGTCAAAGAAACTTTTTCGTTACGAAAGTTAACAAAACTTACGGATGCTATTTTGGCAACTTTTTAATTCAAAATAGTTGACTATGAACACATGAGTGGCTTGCCAAATGTGAAGGTAGAGACAACCATACATACAAACTGATGATGGTGGAGAAAAACACCGAAACGTTTTTGTGACATTTTAAATGGTAAACAATAAAATGTCAGGAAAATATACACAATTCAAAATAGTCCCTATGGATGAAAAAGCACTACGGCAATTATTGGAATTGGAATTGCTGGAGTCGAATTAAAAACTTTTGATGGAAACAAGCACTACCCCAATGCATGGATAATCATTGAAGGTTTGTGTGCAAAACTTCTTTGATCTGAAACTTTTGAACTTAGCATCAAATTATAGTTTAAGCTGAGCATTTTTTTGACAAAACTTATATAATTTGTGCAYCAATTCAAATACAGGTAAYTTGAAATTGAAAATTGAAGTAAAAATGAAAAATTGAAATCTTTGGCCCGCAAACTCAACAGAAAAACTGAATTTCGAAACATTCCGTTAATGAAATGATTTGCCTTTTWSTTTCAGTTTTAACCTTTATAGAGTTTTTTATTTTCATATAAAGTAACCGGTATTTCCGTAATATTAATGAGCGCAAAAGATTACTTGAAGGCGAAATCCTGTACATTTCTGTCAAATCTTTGATATCCTAGTTTTTGTTGCAAATATCTCAGTTCACTGCAAGAATTTATAAATTTTACTATTTTTTCTGCACTCTGTAAATCAATTGATAAAATAATTATACGCATGTGGAATTTTCTGATTGATAAGCAAAATGAAATTACTCAATAAATTACTTACTCAAATTGGAAAAATATAAATATTGTAAGACAGCTAAATAATTTTCAAAATATACTGAATTACGTAATGTATATAACAAAATAGTCTTAATTTAAAGAAATAATAGTAATAACAGGCAAGTTCCAGGTAGAAAATGTTGTTGAGGTACCAACTTTAAGAAAAAATAAAATGTTGACACGAAAACACTGGAAATTGGAAAATGGGGATACATTTTAGGGGTTGAAAACAGTTTTTGCGATTTGCGGCGAATAGCGACCTCCTAGCGGAAAACGTTCAATAGCAGAGTTGTAAATGGTACGGAAATCTGAAACTTTTTGAAATTTTTTAAAATGACCAAAAACCGATTTTTTGGTTTTCATTTTTTTCTAGCCCATAAAGGATTCAATTTACATGAAAATTTGTAAAAGTATGCCTTTTTTGGCGTTGAATAAGCATGATGTTTTTGCTGTTCATAATACGACTAGTTTTTCAGTTTTTTCGAACACACTGCCATTTTCTTCCACGAAAGTTGTCATGATATTTTTTGTATTTCCATTTCGATTAGTGTTCATGAGAGTGGATTTCAAATATTTCTAATTTCTGATCATAGTTGTATTCCAGCGTTAATATGTGTACCTAAGCACAGATGTTATGCTATTTATTTAACTTTTTCAACATGGTTCACAATAAGCTACAATAAAAGAAATTCAACTGTAATAATATTACATAAAACCACTTATATTATGTAAATATAACCACTATTAAGAAAGAAATTATGAAGAAAATCAAAAATTATTAACCATATTAAACAAATTATGATTCAGTTTTTTGCTACTTTCAGCGGTTTAACGATAAATAAACCACCAAGTCACAAGAACCATTTAAAGTAGCCATTACAACGATTAAAACGACCACTTCTACACTTTTCAAATACCAAAAAAAATCAAGACGTTCGTGGAAGATAAGGGTAGTTTTTGGAAAAATGAACCCAAATCGAAAACTAGCCACCTTCTGAACTACGAAAAACTCAGGCTTATTCAGTATCAAAAATAACATACTTTGACAAATTTTCATGTCAATTAAATTATTTTTCAGCGAGAAAAAAATTTAATACTGAAAAATAGGTTATACGTAAAAGTTTTAAATTTTTTAACGATCCACAACTCTGCCATTGAAAATTTTCCGCTAGGTAGTCACGTTTCACCGCAAATCGCAGAAAGCCGATTTCATCCCTTAAACTAAATCCCCATTTCATCAATTCCAGTGTTTCGTTTAAAATTTAGTTTTTCTTAAAGTTGGCACCTAAACACCATTTTCCACCTGATCCTTGCCCGTTATTAATTGTGATTTTTAATAAATATATGAAAATTCGTATCGGCACTATCCTAAAAGCATCATAATTTTCTCGCCTTAACATTTTACTATATTTCTATAAATTTTGCTTCAAGAAAAGCCTTAACTTCTAATAACTAATTCAAAGTTCAATATACGTTTGAACGAAAAGGTGATCGGAGCTCTCGAAGTTATTTTCATAAAATATTGCAACTCAGTTGAACACAATATACTGCACTGAATTATTTTTTGATCGTCCATTTTTTGAGGTCGTATAGGAAAGTTCTCTGCTCGTACCAAACGAATTATTTTTCAAAAACACTTCAAGGTTACAAATATACATTTTTTACTCTTATCAGTTTATTAGAACTTAATCTTTCAACTTCCCGATTCCTTCTATTTAGCTTTACCAGTACCTACGTCTATTACCCACAGGCCTTCTACCTATGTTTGATTAGTTTCAGAATGCTTCTAATGCCATGACTAGGTTAGTGTTTCTCTTTCTGCAGCGACGGTATAAAATGGACTTAATCAGTCTGAACGAACACTTGACTTAGAAAGTAAAAAATTACATAGTCCGCCATTGCAATTCTGGCTACTTTTGCACGACGGCGGAGCAAAGAAAAACCCTAAAATCACGTAAATGTTCAATTGCCAACCGTGCACCAATCAAAACAATCAAAAAACAAAAGAAATTTGCCATACCCGCACGAAGGCCACTTATCAAACGGGGCGCAATATTGCCCAGTACATTGGCGTACATTTCAAGTACGTAATCAATTTATACCGTCCAATTCAAATGCACTTCAAAGAATAATTACAGGAATGAAAACAAAAACCTGCTGTAAAAGATTGAACTGTTTCGACGAGGGCCACGATTTTATTTAATAAAAACTTAAACACTTTGATGTAATTTTACTTTGGGCTTTTGTTGGTGAAATTTTACAAGAGCAATGGAACACGACAGACACATGAAAGATGAAGAGGAAAATTCAATTTAGCACTGAATTTTACTTTGCAAACATCAAGAAGAAGCATTTTCATACCATTCAAGAAAGACATCAAATAATATAGTATACCCCAGCGTCCGAAAATGTACATCTGAAACAAAAACATTTGAAGAAAATGGTTGGAAGTCGCGCAATGTAGTGTCCCAATATTGCATATTGTAAATAAGATGTTTGTCATCAGCAGTTAAAATTAATGGCCCCGTTGTTGTATTGGACCAAAAAAACCGTCCATTAAAAAGCCATTAACGGTAGGCAAGAAGCTTCCGGGAGACGCCACTGGCCAGGCAGTCCTCGCCGCAGCTTGGGAGCTCCCTGAGGGCACCCAAAGAGTAGGTGGAAGGCATGGGAAGAGCCCGGGGGCCCAGTAGCGGAGCCCCTGCTCCCCTGCTGATGGAGGCCCCGGTTGCAAACGGACGGTTTGCTCGATCGTCGTTCTTCGGCATTTTAATCATACACCCAAGAATGGATCGTAATTATTATCTAACATATTGCAAGGCTCATCGATTGACCAGTACACCACGGTTGTTCGCTATTATTTACTGCACTTAAAACATTATCAAAATTTTCCATTCCTGCATATTCGTTTTATTATGCTGACTGACTTTTGACTACATTTCGTATATACTTTTACTTGGAATTAAGGTATTTGTGACACGTGTGACTTTTTAACCAATTAATTATTCCCATTTTCTTTTAGTAATCCCCTTTTTTTTGTAATTTGAGTAATTTTAGTAACCAGATGAGATCAAAAACGAAACAGCCGACATATGAAAGCAGTACTTTGACAAGCTTTTAAACGGAGATCAACAAAATAAACAGACTACAACCGAGTACGAAACTGCAGAACCGCCGGAAGAAACTATCAAAGCTATCAAAACGCTCAAAATTAACAAAGTTCGAGGAAAAGACCTTAAATATGGAGGAGAAGCCCTACAAAGACAACTACATAGACTTATTACCCTTATATGGGGTCAGGAGCACATACAAGATGAGTGGTAAGAAAGCCTGATCATCAGTATCCATAAAACGGCAGACAGCGCAAATTGTAGTAACTATAGAGGAGTATTTTTAATCAACACGGCATATAAGATCCTTGCAAACATACTTTTGTAACGCCTTCAACCGATCGTGGAGTCAGGCTTGATAGACTACCAGTGCGGATCCGCCGAGTTCCGTCGGATCATGGATCCGTGAAAATTGATCTACTGTCGACCAGATATTTACAATAAGGCAAATGTTAGAAAAATGCATTTAACAAAGTGATTCATTCACTGTTCATCACCTTTGGGCAAACATACGATAGTATTCTAAGAGTTAAGCTATGGGACGCAATGGTGGAGACGGGAATTCCCAAAAAGCTAATCAATGTCTGCTATGTTTTGTAAGCTAAAAGGGTTCTGAAATCTTCCAGATATGAGGGTATTTTTTTCATTATGTCTGTACCTACCTGTATCAGTCCTGATATCTACCTGATTAAATTATTTTAGAAACAGATCACTTCCACTGCTGTTTTGACCCAACAATATTTGAAAAACACTTTCAATATACAAATCCGGATAATTACGTAGCCAAATCACTGTGACTTGTCTGCCGTATTTACGTAAAAATATTGTTTTGCTTTATTTTCACTGTTAAAATTACAAATGTAATAAATAAAACATGTTGGTTAGGCTTGGAAGCTATGAATGAAACCTTGAACTTGAATTCTTGAATGAACTATTTAATTTCAATTTATTTTCAATTTTATCATTTTACTGTCTGATTCTTTGAATTTTGGTATAAGCATGACTTAAGTTATTCTTCTATGCCAGTATCTGTTTACTGTTATTGTCCTATTGGAATAATAGCTTCTTAAATAGTTTCAAGTCTGGTTTTATTCGTCATGATTTAGAGGTAGTGCGTATTTCAATTTACTTATTGGAATATTTTGTTTTGTATGGTTTTGCTTTGAATTCGATTATTTCTTGATAATTTTCTTTCTGGCTGAGTCACCACGAAAGTTTCGGCTACATTTACAATTCACAACAACAGAAAATTAGAAGCTCAAAAGTAATGTTAAATGTTCTAGAACATTTTATCTCTAGCGAAATTGTCATAATATTGTTTCGCTGTTTTTAGTTAGTTTCAATGACTTTCATTATATTATATCTTTATTTACTTAAACTTCTTATGTACATATAGGGTCGTGTCTTCCAGCTTTCTGGTACCTAACATTCTTTTATTATAAATAACTGTATATACTTTTCTGACTGTGTTTCAATTCCAAATCAAATCTATTCCTGGGTTTCAGTCATTTATTGTCTCCATTTATTAATCAAAATACGTTTCGGTGTATTTTTCCACCATCATCAGTTTTTCTAAAATAACAGATAGTTTTTAAAAAAAATTCATTAATTTAAAAGAAAACAACCAAAAATAATATCCTCAGAATGCAAAGATTAATAGCTGAAAGTAAAAGAAATCAATATAAACAGTATTTTATTCGTTTTGTGTCCGATAATGAACAAAATTAATACTCATAATGCATGTCAAGGCTTAAAGCAGCAACAACGCTACATATGTAAGTAAAAATAATTAAGTATCTGAACGAAGAATTCTAGTCTCTTCCCAAATTTGTTTGTCCTGACCTGTTAGGCCTAATTAATTTTAGAATGTTTTAAAGTATTGCAATTGTGATGTATATGTCATATGATGAGGCTGTTGACGAACTGTGATTGTTTTTTTAAATTAATGAAAACATTTTTTTAACTATCTGTTATTTTAGAAAAACTGATGATGGTGGAAAAGTACACCGAATATTTTGATTAATAAATAGAGACAATAAATGACTGAAACCCAGGAATAGATTTGATTTGGAATTACAAATAATTCAACCAAAAAGAACGAATTTAGTCGAGTCGTCACCATAAATTTCTTTCGTGAAATACCATGTGAAAATAATGGTAATGGAAATATGGGATACAACGTATAAGACATAACATAAAGTGTAAAATGTTCTTGCAGCATATCTTACTTGCGGCAAAATTAATTTTAAACAATGAATAACGCGGGATTTAACTATTGCAAATTTAATGGCTTCGTTTTTTAAAGTTTTATTGCTGTTTGTTTTGTTAGTTAATATTTTGTTTCGGCATATCAATAATATCTACGTAGCTTATAGTTCACATTGGATGTTTTTGTGCATCATAGTCTCTTTTTTTCACTAATTATTGCATGTATTTGAATACCTTCTCAAAAGAAACAATCTACGACATGGTCGAGTCAATTCTGAATAACGATGACAAACCTTTCCTGTATGTCATTTATTATTATTACTTATATTTCAATTCTGACGTTTTTCTTACAAGTAAATGCAAATTTTTTCAGCAAATCCTACCATAAGATTTAGGAAATTTTATTGTTGCTATGGCAGGTTGGAGTGAGATAATTCACCTCTTGCGGCACATTAAACGGAAAGCTGCCCTATCTTTCACGGATATCAATCAGAAAATTTCGTCGCTAGAAGAAAAGTATTCGGCACTGACCGACCAAAATGAGTGTCTGAAGAACGAAATTGAAAAACATAAACAAAGAGTGCATGAACAAAAAGCCAACATGCTTGAACGAAGTGTACACACCGCTCCCCATGCGGAGCGTTCGTCTAGACATTCAAGACGAAAAACCAGATCGATGACAAAAACAGGATACCGATCAGTGCAAAGGGCGCCGAGAAGAACAAACAAAAAGCAAAAATTGGTAAGCAGAAAGAAACCTGGAAGAAAAGGAGCGAAGAAAAGGAGCACTGTATATAAAAAGGAAAGTCGCTGCTAGTAAATGTTATGCAATTTTGATTATTAAATGTTGTTAAACGTCTTTTACCAGAGTACTTTTATTATTTGATATCCTCCTGCACACAATTAGAAGAATGCGGAAGATACTCGAAATTATGCTGATCAAGCGAACAATTTTTCAACCGATTCAGATAAGGAGGAGACATAGTAACAGCAATAATCACACGTCCATATTTAAGAATGGCTTCTCCATATCCAAGTGTCACGCCAATTCTAATGGAGATATGCAAATTTATTCATTTTCGAACATCTAATACAAGCCTAACAGGGTTTGTAGTAGATAATCATCCGTTGCGGATAAATAAGCAAATCCAAACTGTCTTTTTCGGTTTAAAGTTTAGAGAAAATAGTTATGAGTAGGTAATATTCCTGAGTACTGCCAGTCATTGTTAAGCGGACATTAAAACCAGGAAAAATAAATACCATCCGGAAGAAACGTTTGCTAATATTTTCCCATGTGTAGCCTTTCTCAACGTTTTGTAAGCTTAAGCTTTAAATCGCTGATGTGCAAATGCCGCATTCTAAACGTGTTGAAGCTTGTAAAGGATCACAGGTATAACCAGGCACATTCATAAATTTCACACATTTTGCGACTCTAAAATATACCTACTATTATTGTTTCGAATGCTTCTTTTAAGATGCCCCTATGCTATGAACAATTTTGATGAAAAAACTATTTAACATCATTCAATATGAGCAAGATGCAAGCTGAATTTTTTTACTGAAAATAGTTTATATATGAGTTTACGATTTATACGTAAAATTTCGAACATTTTTCCTAGTTGATATTCGCTTATTAGCAAAAAAATGGTAGTTAAGAAAAAGCTTTAATCAAGACAAGATATTCAAATTTAAGATACTTAACATGGTTGTATTAGAAACGACCTATTTAATAACAAGGAGCAATATTTCTAGTTACTGAAATCTCGCAAGTGAAATGTTTCTTGTCTTCGCAAGTGTTCTGTCTGAATGCCTTCTAAACGAATTCATGCTGGGTCATATTTATTGTTTCTTTTCTAATTATAAATTAAAAATTAATAAGAGAAAACAATCTAGTCGAAGAACAAAATATGGGCCCAATCTGTAGGGAGGGCAATTATCTTTTATGACATTTTTTTACGTCCATTTTGGTGCAAGAGAAGTGTTGTGTATAGAAGAAAATTGATTTTGTTATTTGATTGAAACTACTACGACATATAATAATACAATGCATTTTAATTACATTTATTATTGTAATTGAAGCCTGTCCTGGAAAAACCGGATCTAAACCGCCCAAGATCGACTACACTGAAGACAATTGGAAGAGGCCTACGTTCAGGAGTGGACGAGGTTGGGCTAATAATGATTGAATAAAAAAAGTTAACAGCAGACCAGAAGTGGAAAATTGTGGGATATCGCAAAACACATTGGACTCACATGGTGCTCTATTAAGCAAATCGAATGTAAAGTACAAGATTTTCTCTTTCATAACCGGGATTAAAAATGATCATAAAAAGACGTATCGGCTCAAAAGATATTGATGGGAAACGGTTTTTTCACAATCGACTGTGAGATGAATAAGTTTGCAAAAGTCCAAACAAAAATATTATATAAAATAAATAGATCGCAGGCACTTGTAACCCCCGAAAAAATAAATGAGTATTTTAAATTAATTCAAAGGTCCAGTTTAAATTGCGGCAAAATAAGATTCTTTTGCAAGAAACATGTTTATATTCCAGTGAAAATGCGAAAGAAGAATAATTTCTTGATAAGTTTATTTATCATTTCGTTGCCTATATTTACGAATTACGAATTACAAAATTATTTAAATAAAAACTGGTTTTTCATATTCGTTCTTTATACACGGTGTTTGGTGACACGAAGGTCATATCTTTAGAGCGTTTTAAGGAGCAATGGACAATGTTAACTTCTAGAGAAAGAAGGAGCGTAAAGTAAAAAGTATGTTAAATACAGCTCCAATCGTAAATGTTGTGGAAATTCGATTAGTATAATAAGAAGATTAATAAGAACGCGAATGCGAATTCGAATTTCGCGTATTTGTAAATCCATTTCATGACAAAATTTGGATTCATTCATAAACAGAACATATGCTTAACAAAATTTGCGATTCTGTTTCTGTAAAAAACTACAATGCTTCGAAGTTCAAACAGTCGAACAATGGCTTCCTTCAATTTGGAACCGCCCTGTATGTATAGGTCCATTCAATAATTATTCTTATCTTATCTATTATGGGTGTTCTTAGTTAGGTTCTGAATTCTTCTTTTCGTGCTGGGTATGTACGGTTCATTTTGATAGTAAAAATATATTTTATTCTATTCTATGTTTCAAATATAGTTTTGGCAGTTAAAAAAAAGTATCTTAAAAGAAAAAAAAACCGTTATAAATGGTAAAATAACTAAACTATAAGGCGTAGACCATTACAAGTCCTGGAGTCAAAGTATAAACAGAAGTAATCGAGCAAAATCAACGTCGTTGTTCAAATAAAAATCGGTTTAGATTGGGGACCAGAAAATTTCGAATCCTGTAGTGAAGCGCATTAATTTGACACAAAAGACCGCCTACCGAGAAAAATTTATCTAGCAAACGTTTTTGTTGATAGCAGCTTTACGAGTTACAAGAAAAAAATACTGCTGCGTGGGGCTTTGAAGAAAGGCATTTTAATTAT